CGGGAGCGGGGGCAGCTATTCCCGCTCCCGTTTGGTCCCGTTGACATCCCTAATCAGATCATCCAAGGAGTAGTCCTCAGATTTGTGCATCATTCTCTTAGAGAAATCTTTCCACGAGGGTGGCAGTTTTGCGATTATCGCACCAACCTGAAAGAGTTCTGGAAGAGAGATGGTGAGTGCGTTCAACTTGTTGACCATGACTTGGAGTTCATGCACTTGCTCCATAATTGGTTTGTCATCAACCATTTGAATCTCAAGATACTTGGACACAAGGTACTTATTAGTACCTTCTTCATGTGCCTTATACTTGAGTTCCAACGCACTCCATAGCTCTTTAGGATCTTTGACCGGCGAGTAAAGATCATAGAGCCGATCAGATAGAGAATTCTTGATGTGACCCACACACAATTCCTCGGATTCTCTACGCAGAATCCTTTGTTTTTCCAGTTCTGTAATGATCGCTGGGTCCACAGATTCCCCTTCCTTTGGAATTGGATCATCAGGAATTGGTGCCAGTTTTGGGTCCAACAAAAAGGAGAGCTTCAAGACATGAAGCATGAACTTGACCTTTTCGGCCCAACGAGTGTAGTTCTGACCATCGAATTGGTCAAGTTTGGCAAACTCTTTGTTCATGAAATGGAGGCTAGCAGTAGAGTCCATTAGTCTGTTGATTGATCACAAAGTAAAAAAAAAAACCTTTAAGATTGTTGTTAACCAAACTAAAAGACACGCAATGAAATCAACAAATAATATGGTGAATTATATGTCGATTAGTTGCGAATAATAAATTCAATTATTATTATTAAATTTACCAAGTTTCGTCCGAAACCAGATCTATCATTCTCGATTAGATCTGATTATAAGAAAGGTAGAAGAAGACTGTCCTGTTATTGGACGAATTAAACACAAGACAGAAAAGTAAAACTGACCTGTTGATTGTTGACTTGATCTTGAAGCAACTGCACGGATCAGATTCATGTCCTTAAAGGTTTTTACTTCGCTTGTATTGATTGTAACCAACAGAGTAAAACCCCAGGATTTAATGTAGCTAGATCGATATTCCAACAGCACTGGAAATCGACAAACACAAAGCGACTACTCGGAAACTAGAAGAAAAAACCGCAGAGAGAGGGAGAGCTTTCAGATTTTCGTGAGAATCATATGGCTCCTAGGGAGCTGTATTTATAGGTATCGTAACCCTAGAAGGCATCAAACGGCCCCCCATAGGCCGGATCGGACAAACCGGCTTGACCCGAACTCGTCAAAAATAAAAGCTCCTCTGCTCCCAGCGACCGATGCGTCGTGCGAAGTGCACCTAAATAGCGCACTCGCGGCGTCGGCTAGTGCTTGGCTAGGCTAGGCGCGCGCGTGGGCTTGGCACATTCCTTTGATCCACTAAAGCTGGGAATAGGCTTATAAACCCACAAAAGTTTCTTCCCCCCACCAATGTGGGATACAAAGAAAATTGCCAACTTGCAATTCCTTTATATATAAAGTTCCAACACATATTATTAGGCTATTCGGGTGGATAGCATTCCACGCGTGAAAGACTATGTTGGAGGGGATAAGGACGCGTGAAAACCGCCTCAGCCCTGGTGGTTTGGCTGTGGCGTCTCTATGGAGACGGAGGAAGACACCCAATAGGAAAATAGGAGCAACATCGGTCTCTCTTTATCTCTCTCTTCTTTTCGTCTCTTCACCACCAATCCATCGGTGAACACCATTTCCACAACCTGGTGGGCTGGTTGTGAAATGGTAAAAAATGTGTGGCCTTCATTTCACATATAAACCACTAGTGAGGATAACCAACAACTTTACCATATAGTATTTTCTTTCTTATTATTTTTCTGTCCATATAAAATAATAACAATTTTCATATTTTGATATAATTAATAATATTTATATATATGGAGGAAAGATAAGAGGATATTTAATTTGTCTATTTAGTATAGTATACGATCAATTTATGCATCTATGTATATCAATATAATACCAACCTTAAAAGATTTTCCACAATATCAAACATGGTATAAGCATGGTCATTTAGGGTTTCTTATAGTATTTCGGCTGCTTCACTCATTATATTTTTTACCCAGCATTGTACGATGTTGTTGTCTTCTGTTCACCATTGTTGCCAGCCGCCAAAGATCATCTAGAAGCCACCGTGTTCACGACCAATACCCGTCTCATTATATGCAAAGTGGTTTTGTCAATCTCTTTATATTTACCATTACTTTGAATTTATATGAACCAATCACATGCGAGAAACCCATCAAAATTGGTATTCTAAGTGATCTTTAAAATAAATTAGTCAATTTTGCATTGCTCCACATAATATTGTTTTCTCAACCTTGATATGTTGTCTTTACCTTCTTAAAATGGAAAAACTTTCATTATCATTTATGACCATATCAATATATAGTTGAGCAGAAAATAAATATTTGAACTGAAAAAAAAATGTAAAGAACATAGGTTTCTTTTTACATAAGGTTATCATTGTATACAACATAAACATTATAAAATCATATATATATATATATATATATATATATATATATATATATATATATATATATATATATATATATATATATATATATATATATATAAAAGACTATTTCCAGCCTATTTTTATTTTTCTACCAAAAAATAGAGTAAAAAATACAGTAAATCGTGTTTCATCTCCAACCCTATTTCATTTTTACCCAATTTTTACTTCCAAAAAGTATATACATAGTATATTTCAATCTTCCAACTTATATAAATTATCATACATACCCCTTATATTAAATTGGTTTTAACAAATACATTATCTATATTTTTTTTCATTACAATAGTATTAAATAAATAAGACTATATTTATAATACTTAATTATATGCTTTTATAAAATACGTTATCCTGTTTTAAAATTTCAATATGTATTTAAATTTTTATATGAATTTGATAAACAAAGAACAAATTTTATACTTATAATTAATTAATATTATTTAATATATAACACAATATTCTAAATATTAAATATTACATTTAATTATTATTAGTAGATAAAAATAATCTAGAAATATATAAATATATAAAAATAGGAACTAAATCCGACAAACCAAAGTTTATCCCAAATTTGGAAGAATATGAATAGTATAACATCAAATATGGTGTTATAGTATTTATTTTCCCCAAAATTGAAGAATAAATGAAGTAGAATTGAGAGTAATAGAGGAAGAAATGAAACAACTAATGAAAAATGAGAATGAAAAATAAGAGTGGATTGGAGATGTTTTAAAAAGTTTCACTATTTACTTTTTTATTTTTATTTTTATTTTCCTTTTATGATAATAAATAAAAAACACTAATTCTAAGATATATTCTTCTTAATTTGGAAAAAAAATAAAAATAAATAAATAAATAAAAGAACATGCTTTCTTTTATAATAAAAAACATTCATTTCAAATAACAAACGCGTTAACATAAAACCGAACAAAGATGCTACATAAAGAAAATAAATTGTGATGTCGACAAATAAGCCATCATATATGTATACAGTTTTCATGTCATTCTCAATAGTTTATCTATTCAGCTTCTTTTTGTTTCTTGCCCAAAACATTCCACGTATCTCGTATATTTTGTTACAAAAATTGATGACAATGACATATCTATGCTTGCTAAAGGACTGAGGGTTTTTAATTCAAGTTTCGAATGCTAAAATATTAAATATGTGTCGACTTCACACGTTATTTTCTTGATTTCAAATGACATTTGTTGATTTATATGCAATAATTACATAAAATAATACAAAATATATCATTTTCATGACACAAGAAATACAAGGTTTCAAAATAATTTAGATAGTCTGGTATTCACACTTACACCTATATATATATATATATATATATATATATATATATATATATAATATATATATATATATATATATATATATATATATATATATATATATATATAAAAGAAGGTGCATCACTTGACACTTGTTATGCTACAAAGCCTACGTTATAATAGACATATTAAACAAGTTTGTCTATATATATAATGCTTAGCTATGAAAAGTCAAACTTACAAAAAGAACATATATATATATATATATATATATATATATATATATATATATATATATATATATATATATATATATATATATATATATATATATATATATATATATATATATATATATATATATAATGGTTGATCTAATCGAATATGAATGATTTGTTGCAATTCGTATTTCGTAAATGAACCCAGTTGTGCATCAAAATTGAAACCCGTGTGTTGTCAATAATATGTATAAAAAAAAAGTAAGCAAAGGCCATTTCTCTTTTTATACTTTTGGAGAACAATAACACTCCTTTATCCACATAAATGATGCTAAGGAAATAAGGCGAGGAAGGACTTTAACAATATAAATTTTATAATAAACTAAAATTCATATTCAAATAATTGATTGAGTTTTTACGATATTAACCCTGAAATAATCATGATTTTGACAAATTGGGAATCATATTTTTGACCAATATCAATATGGATGTCGTTGTCAAGTATTTATCTATTCAAAATTTCGTTATTTATGGCCTAAAACATATCCACATATATTAATATTATACTCAAGTTTCAAAGGATAATAATAATATCTCTATATTTGTTAATTTCTAATTTGATTATTATCATTTATCACCAAGTTCTTTCTTTAACCTAAATAACAAAATAATATACAACATTTAAAAATAATTATAACAATAATATCCAAGTAAATCAATGAAATTTACAAAAAGTTTCAGTCTTTCAAAATTAATCACTTACTGTATCTTTCAAGATATTTACAACTCCAAGTGTATAATTTTTGCTACTATAAACTCTACATCACGACAGTATACAATATAGATATATATTATACAAGTGTGTGTAATTATTATTAGCTCCTTCAAAAATATGAGCTTCTATAAAAAAAAATATATATATATATATATATATTAAAAAAAAATCTAATCTAACATGAATGAATTGTTGCAATTCTAGATGCATCCCAATTAGCCACCATACCTGAACTACTGGTCTCATGGAACCTATGCATGACTTGAATCAATGATCGAGCTTTTTTTCCGGCCTGTGAACCCCCATTTGTGGACATCGTGTACAAGAATCCGATCAAATTCGCATTATTGGCCAAAACAGCAATCACTTCGACTCCCATATTGTTGCATAAAGCCAACAAGATCGATACACAGTATTCTTTTGCAGCTCGTGAAGGCGATGTTTGGAGAGTTTTGATGATAAGTGGTAAAGATGAAGCGTTCATGATTTTGTCAGATCCATCAAAGCTTTCAGCTAATGTCGCTAGAACTGCTAATGAATCTGTGATGATTTCCGGTTTATCTGAACAAGAAATGAGGTTGGATAGTAGTGGAACGATTCCGGATGAGAGTGCGGTTTGGTGGTTTCTTGGGTAGAGGAGAATTCCGAATAGAGCTGCTAATGAATTCTTTTTACCACATGAAGTTCCTGTTTTGATTAGTTCGATCAAAGCTGGAATGGCGTCTGGGATTTCTCCGATGAGTTTCTGATTTGCTTGAACAGATGATAAGTAGAAGATTGTTGCAGCTGCTATTTGTTTAGATTCTTGTTTTGATCCGTTTTTTAAAACCTCGAGGATTGAATTTAATCCACCGTTATTGATGATTACCTTTTTTCCGTTTGAATGTTTTGAAAGCTTGAGTAGAGCTGCAATGGCGTTCTCTTGGATAGTTGAATCAGATGACGAAAGTCGAGTTAACAGAAGAGGAATCGCTCCGGCTCCGATCAAACAAAACCGGTTATAAATGTTTGATTTCGCAAGTAATCGGATTTCATAAGCAGCTTTGCTTTTCTGTTTCTCTGTTCCGTTTCGTAATTTTCTTACCAGATATTCACTGAGGAACTTGATCGCTTCAGCAGATGACGGACTACCCGGGAGGATCGTGGAAGAAATATCACGCGATTGTTTTTGAAATTTTGTAATTGAAACTCCATGATCGATGCAGTACTGCTGAATAACTTTCCGAAGATTCAAATTGGGAACAAGCTCCGTTGTTGCTAGTTTTTTCCCAGTTTTTGGGCAGATGAGGTTGCCGGATTTAAGCCATTTTTCGATTGAAACCCGATCGTAAGTCTGACCGGTGGAAACAGTCACCGGATCTATCATCATTTCTAGAGATATTGGGCACCGGAAATCTTCTGGATTTAAGCAGCTCAGGATTTCCAGATTTGATCTTCCGGCGGATTGATCGTCGGTATTTTCTAGAACAAAGTTTTCAAACAGAACTCCCCGGCAATACCTCATGAATCCAGCTAAAGTACTTAATAGATGGAGATCTCTTTCGTTATTTTCTAATGATACTAAACTAATCTCTTCGTCTAAAAACCTAATTTCTCTGTGACACTCACTCCAGCTATTAATACCTAGATAATAAAGAACTCGCTTGATAATAATCGGATCAGGTTCGAACCTGTTCTCAAACTGGTTTAAAATCAACATGACTCGTTTCATGGCGTAATCATCATCCGGATCAACCTCCATTTTCGCCCTCCTTGCTTGCTTCGCAACCATCTCCACCAATTCTTTCATCTCAATCGACACTTTGATCGAATTCAACGGAAGAATATCAAGCGCTGTAGCAACCGCTCGTATCAATGTCAAAAACTGCGTAGCTACAAAGTGAGACTTCATCAAAATAAAAACCCTAGCTCCACTACGTGTACAATCTTCAAACACAAATAGAATCTTCTGGAACGAATGATGAAGTTCGGAGAAACAGAGCACAGCAGGATCCGGTAAACCTGAAACGTCTTGCTCCATAATTTCACAGAAGAACATGGAAAGAATCCCGATCTGTCGAATCGATTCACGAACGTTTTTTCGTTGCGTGGCGAAGAGTTGAGACTGGTAATTGGTTATGAAGTTGGAGAGAGTGATGAGAGAGCGAAGAAGCGTCACTGGATTGACATCTTGGCATGGAAGAACCGCCGGAAACTTGAGAATCCGGCGACTGTTGTCATCAAATCGTTTAAGCATCGGAGAATGGAGAATGGTGATGAAGAAAGGTTTTTGAGTTGCCCAAAAATAGTGGAAATTATCTTTTTGAATTGTTGGTACGGTTGGAGGGATTTATAGAAGGATGAGGATCGTACATGAAACGTGGCATAAAGGTATGCGCGTTTAAAGATATGGCTGCGTGGACTTGGGAGAAATCAAGTGGCGTCCCACTTGATGACACGTGTTTGAATCAAGCCGGAGAAATAGATTGGACGGTTAAAAATCAGTCGGTAGTTTTCGCTTTTTTTTTTTTTTTTTTTTTTTAATGGAGATTTAAGTATAACCGTATAAGTCTATTAGACAAGGTTTTAATTAGTTGGTTTAATCTATTATTGGCTCAATTGGCTTTTAACATATTTGTGTAACATATTAATAGATTATCTTATAATTATTTATATGTTTACGTTTGTGTAATATGTAATAATATATGTAACATAAACAAAGTTAGAAGGTAAAAAGTTTATTTTATACGAGTAATTATATATTCTAATAAATAACGATCTTTTTATCAAGTGCAATATTCTTATTCATTTTGTTCTATATAATTTTATGATTATTTTAAATTAATTTTTATTTTATATGTTATTTTATGGTTTTTCTATTTTATTAAATTTTATATATTATTTAAATCTAATAATAAATGCATATCAATTTATTAATGGAGCTTTTTTTATTTTTAAAATTACTTAATTAAAGTTTAATTAATTTTATTTATTTATTTATTTAAATCATTTGTTTAAATTTAAAAAAGAAAAAACATTTTAATTTTTATAATTCAATATTTTTCTTATTTTTCTTATAGATTCAAGCTTTTCAAATACTTTGAATTTTGTATTTAAGTTTTCTCTTAAATAAACAATATAATAAATGAATCTCACACCTAGTTTAGAATAAAAGTGTTGATTTGGAAAAATAGAAGGTATATATATATATATATATATATATATATATATATATAATATATATATATATATATATATATATATATATATATATATATATTCCATTAATCAAACCAAAATTACTTAAAACCAAATAAACCAAACTAAATAATTCAAACATCATTTGGTTTATGGACATCTATAAATATCAACGGAGGTGTAAGAATCTTTCTTTTTTTACTTAATAAGTTTATGGACTAAGTAGTTAAAACATTAACATTTTTCGTCTTTTGTTATCTTTCTTCTTTCCAACTATTTCTACTTATTAAAGTTAAATAAATATTATGAAATATGATGTAAAATTATTACTTAAGCTTTTCATCGATATAATTAATTCAGTTTAAAAATATACAATATTTAATCTAAAAATCATGTCTTAATCAACTATGTTATAAGGACAGAGAAAAACGGTACCTAAACCTACAATCAATATAATATATTTTTTTTTCAATATATATTTATAGAAAAATTAAATATTCTTTTACATTTTATTTATATTTATCTTCATACCATATTAAATGTTGACTTATCTATAAAACAAATACTAATTTAATCTACTAAGGAGGAATAGGAATATAATATAAAAAAAATATTTAATTTCTCGTATTTTTATATATATATATATATATATATATATATATATATATATATATATATATATATATATATTTTTTTTATCCGAAAAATATGTTAAAATATCTGTGAAATTGAATGCACCCACAACAGTTTAGTTGTGGTAAAAGTGGGACCAAGGATTGCCGACTTTAAAAGGGACAGGTGGCAGTGGTGATAGTGACGTGTTGCTTTGAGAATGGGGAAAGCCTACGACAAGCTCCAAGCAAGCAATCGTCAGGAAGGAGGCAATGGCATGGATCGATTTGTTAAACTCAACTCAAGAGATGACGTGTAATTTCATCATTCTAAACTTTATTGTTATTGTTTTAATATTTAACAAATTAAATTAATTTAAGGTAATAAGGTGTCGTTTAAGCATTCGTAAAAGCACGCCATTTAACCTATGTCTTGACACTTGGTCCTTTGAATATTAACAAGTCACCTTCGCTATCACAACCGAAGTATTAGTGGTTCTTAAGTTCTTTCATGTTTGTTTTTATCTATTTTTTTAAAATACAATTTAATTGATGCGTAATTTGTAAGTTTTTTAATTTACTTTAAATAGATAGATAAATAGTACATGTAAAACAGTTATTAAAGTTCCAAATAAACTACTGCACTATATAAAAATGTCAACTGAGGTAGTTGAATTTTTAGGTTGCTGTTATTTATTTTAAATTGCGCAAAAACACGAATTGTCCTCAAACTATAATTTATTACTAGTTAATGCATAATATTTTCATACGTAAGCTTCAGCGGTTAAATTTTGTAAAAATTGCCTTATAAATTTGTTTTGCATTTTATTTAGTAATTTTAGAGTTTTTAAATGAAGTGTAGTCATTTTTATGTAGTAAGATATAATACTAAACACTAAATTACAATAATAAGCTAACTGATTGTTTCTCAAAAAGAACCTTAAACTTCAATTGTATCAATGATGTTTCTAAAGTTCCTGAAATATGCAAAGTTTATTGTTTGTTCTAAACATATTGATTGGCGCTTTCTCTAGTTTCTGTATATTCTTTGTACACTTGATAGTTCCTCGCTGTTTTTTTATTATTATTTTGAAATGCAATCTTTTTGTGTTGAAGAAAAAAAATCATAAATCGACAATTCTACTTTTTCTATTAAATTAACCAAAACAATATTGAATGGTAGCCAATTTAAAAGAGTTGTACGTGGGTGTTGACCACTGTTAAAGTCTTGTCCTTAGATACAACAGAAAACATTAGACCAAATCTTTTGTAAAACGTTTTCCTTGCATGCAATGTGCATAAATGGCTCAAACTTTTGACATCTCAATCATATTTTAGTATGCCTTCAACTTTAAACAAAATCGTTTTTCTCAACAATCACATGCTTTTGTTTAATGCTTCGTTAAACAAAATAAGAAGGTTTCATACTTTCATCACTTTATGGCCAAAACAACTTGATTTGACTTGTTTAGCAAGATCGACGATTCTCGAACATTCCTAATAAAGTATAAAAAAGAAATCAATTGAGATTTTTATTTGCATGTAGACGCGTTCACTAGTTGCACATCAAATAATTATGATTCCACTTTGTACTTAACTAGTTTTTTGGTAATTCAATTCAACTCATTTATATAATTTTGTTCATTGGTTTGTCTATGTTTATTCTTTATTCTCGATTATTAATATATATTACATTACTTTTCTTAAGATCTAAGATTATATATATATATATATATATATATATATATATATATATATATATATATATATATATATATATATATATATATATATATATATATATAGTAGGTGTGACCCGTGTATTACACGGGTTGATTAAAAAAAATTAAATATAAGATGTAGATATTAAGTATTTTCTAAAGTAAAATTTTAAAATAAATATAAATGAAATGATGAATAACTCAGTCTATACTAATAAAAAATTATTATCATGTTTTAAATAATCATGTTGAATATTAACGTGTAAAAAATTTGTAACACCGTAAATTTCAAGACAAATTTTTCATTTAAAATAATCATTTTATTCTTAGAAACACTTGTTTAAAATCTCATTCGTAGTCGATTTACAAAACATGACTCCATTTTCACTTGCATAGAAAACCAGGATCCTCCAAAATATGACTCTTTCTCTGGTGTGTACAATCAAGCCGGTGTCGTCCCGTGATACTGAAAGAAACCTGAAAAACATCACACAAAACACTGTAAGCACAAAGCTTAGTGAGTTCCCCAAAATACCACACATAACACATATTAGCCACTCGAGGCTATAACTCTATGGGTCCGTGCACCCAAACTCTGTGAACCCTCGGGTTCTAACTCTGGGAACCTTCCGGTTCCAACTCTATAAACACGCACATCATAAATCACATAGAAGTAATGCAGTACAACACATCACGTACATATAGCATACAAATACTCTGATCACATAACTCTGGTTACCTACTCAAGGTAAAGTATAGTGAGAAGACTCACATGGCAAGCAGAAAACAGATATCCCCACACTTGAATCTCGAACTCGCCACCGCCTAACACGTAAGGCAAATACTCTCATGAATATAACTCTCGAGACTAGAATAAATCCTCTCATAACACCCTCTTATGGGTAAAAGACTATTTTACCCCTCTCTTGGCCCAAAGGCCACATCGCTGACCAAACCCTAAAAGTCAACGGCCAACCCTTGGTCGAAATCAAAGTCCTCAGTCTAAGTCAACCCCTGACTGACCCTACTCGCCGAGTCAACCCTGTGACTCGTCGAGTTCCCATAATCAGAACTTCACTCAATCTGCGACCTAACTCGCCGAGTCCAACAACTCTAAGTCCACTCGCATACGACTCACCGAGTCATCCCTCGACTCACCGATTCTCGACTCAACCAGAGAATATTTGGGACTCTTCGACAAGACTCGTCGAGTCCAAGAACAGACTCGCCGAGTCTACGGCTATCCTCAACCTACTCACCGAGTTGTTCATACAACTCGCCGAGTTCCAGGCCATCTTCATCCAACTCGTCGAGTCCACCCATGTGACTCGCCGAGTACCACCGTCTGAATACATTCCAGAAGCATTCCAGGCCATGCAATTGCTCCAAAACATAGATCTAGTCTCCTACCACTCATCCATCACGTAAAGTGGCAAACTTTACGTGAATCCAAAGAGATCTAAGCCGTTTGCACATTGGGCTAGGGTTTGGGACATGTAAGCTTCACTAAACACTCCAACACAAGGACTTTCATGCTCTCTGATTCTTCTCCCTTCCAGATCTGAGGTAGCAACCTCAGATCTAACCTCTAGACTTCCCATTTCATCCATAGAAAATTTCTCACAAACCCCAAAATGAAGAAACAACATAACAACAGGTCAATAACGAGATATTACCTCTAAGTGATGCCCCAACTGCAATGAAATTCGAATCCAAGCAAAGCCCCT